CTTGGGATGAGCACTAGCCTATATCTATTCATAAAACCCAGAAAAAATGCCTTCTAAGTCAAAGGAGCTTGACAAAAAGTTGTGAGGGCTATTGAACAATTTCGTACATCCATGAATGCATTTCATATGTATTTACTCAATGATCCAACTGAATATAAAATGTTCTGTGTGTTTTTACATCGTAGTGTTTACTATAACTATTGACATGTAAATGCGTCCATTCATGATACCCAAAGGCTTACACACATGAGATTCCTTTTTGGCTTTCACCAGCACTTACTGCTTATTTGTGGCCACGAGTGCCTGCTAACATCGTACTGTAAAAGTAGGAGTGGTGGAAGTCCAAGAAGGCCTAGAGGGGGTTTGCCAGAGCTGAAAGAGAACAGGAGTGCCTATGGTAGACGACCCAAATTAGACTGTAGGATTGTGAATAATAAGAAAAATATATTCGACATATGTAAAAAGACTGACAAAGCCTTTGTTAGGCCTAAATCTTGGATCTGATATAACCAAATATTACATCCATCTTGTCTACAATTTTGTAACTTCGCTGTTCAATTCAATTCTTGGTTGCTGCTCCACCCTCTTAGTTGTCTCGGTGGTGCTAAGCCTTATGGGTAATTGTCCTCATAAATACTTCTCTGATAAATGAATGAATGGGGTTGAAGCTTGAGAACATGCGATGAGGTACACTGCCACTACCCCAGACCATCAGGATCCAGGAGGACGCCCTCCTGTGGTCAACATGATGTTAATCCCTGAGTAATTGAGAACTGTTGGGTCAGCTATGGGTGGGTAAAGCCAACATCCAACAAACCATAGTCAAGATTATTATGCAATTGATCCACTGTAGTTCCACACAATCCATATTCGTATCTGTTATTGTGAATAAACAGCCATGTACTAACTGTATGATTTCACAAATCTAAATATACAGCCAATACAGGGGTTCCTCAGGAGCATATTCTAGGGCCACTGAACAAGCTGACTCAGGGGTGTCTCAATGCAGTTCTCATCCCTTAGCATGTCCTCAAGGGCCACCATTTTTTCAATATAGTAAATACTAGAACCCTACTCATCTGGGGTTTTAATACTGCTAAATTATTTTTGCTTTACACTTCTCAGTTTTGTACATCAAGAGTGAGTCTAAGGCAGTTTTTGTGGTAGTTGGCTGCCTGGCACATGGTGCATCCTTTTCCAGTGACTGACATTTCCAAATCAGGTGCTATTACACTGTGATTAATTAATTTATTTATTTTTTAGTTATAGTGTGTGTGAAATAGACAAATATAGCATTAAAACTATATGGGCTCAATTTTATTGGTGCTTGATGTTGTATAACGATTTCTTTGTGATTATATGTGATTAGAATAGAGAAGCAGTTTATTTAACTTGACATTTTAATTAAGGGCGGAATAATGCTAGTTTGATTAATAAAAAAAATACACGGGTGCAATGGAACCTGTACCTATACAGTAACAGTATACTAGTATTCAGGTTGCCTCACAAAGTCATATTAATCCTGCAGCCTCTCCTGTCAAACATGTTCCACATCTCTTGACAGCCACAGCACACAGCAAGAGCGTTTGAACAGCCAGCTTGTTCTCCTCAGTCCTTGTTGTGCCTTGTATTTTTTTGGGTGCTTCAATCCAGCCACGGCAGCCAGGTCCGCAAAACAACAGTGCCAGTGTATTTTATTTCACTCTTTTAATGTAACCAGCACAATCACCAAAACAATCGCACCAAATAGTCTGACTTACTCCACCAACCAAGAATGATTAGGCACTCCATTATGGCCAGTTCTCAAATATTGGTCCCTTAATGATAAATGCTAGTCAATAATTATGCAGCCTCAATTTTGTTTACCACTATTTCTTTTTTAAAAACATTTGATAGATATTGAGCTCTGTAAAGTAAACACTCCACAACTGTTTAAGATTTGGAAATGCACTCACAAACAAATAAACTAGTCACCACGATTTGACCAAACCATTTTAAATACATGTGCCAATTTCAAACATGTCTGATCCTTCAACTAATGATACAAAATGTATTGTACTGGTCATAATCACAGGCCTGATGGGTATACAGTTTATTTTACAACTTACACCTCAACCTGACAGCAGTGTACAGCAAAATTTTAGTTTTTATGTATATTAAATTGTATTACTTTTATGCAGTCTCACCACACAACCAAAAGAGTTATAGAAAAGGAATCAAGAGTCACAGAAGCCAGCAAGGATAAGATGGATGATGATTATATTGTTTGTCTTATGCGTCTCATCTTTTGTCATGCAATGATGAATGATTTGTGCCAAGATGTAACTCTTTATTGTCTTGTGGGAAATATACAGTACATTCTCTAGCCAAAACAATAATGCCTGCAGTAGAAGGCAAAAGGATAACAAAATGCATAAAAGATGGTGAACTGCATTTTGTGACTTACTCAAAATATGTACAATCAGTGATTTCCTGTTCAGCCATCATATTGTTTGACCTCCAGCATGCCCATAGAGCTCATAGTGAGATGACCATTCAGCATGGAAGTGCACCCTCTGGTTACTACATCAAAGTGTAGCAGCAGGTCTCTGTTGGACTTGGTTTAAATCTGTACCTTTTTCTTATGGCCACCTGAAGCAGAAACTTAAGTTACTGTATTCTCTCTATGTTCTTTTTAGACTTGTACTAAAATCCTGGTGCTAAACCAACATTACACAAGGTGCTACTACTTCTTGACCTGATTTGCTTAAGAAGTAGCACCTCAGAACTACAGTTTACAGCGATATACAAGTCTCACTGGTGCCATTTTCATTTTTATAGTCTGCGCACAAAAACTGCTTTCACACAAAATGTGAAATTATTTTTTATTTCCCATTATTCAATCTGCACTTGGGTTTTCTTTTAAGAGATGAACCTGCCAGATGACAAGATGCCTCTAAGCACTGGAACACATCTTGTGCTTATGAACTCAAAGGGGACAATAAGTAGAATGTGGTTGCTGTGTTGTAAATTCAGTCATTTTTATGTCATTACAATGTGTATTATTTGATGTTATTGTTGAACAATTGGCTGTAAGATTTTTTATTTAATTTTTTTTATTTAATTTTTTTTTTAGATTTGATACTGTACTGAAAAAACTATATAAATTGCTGCTGATTTACAACTGTTATCAAAGATGTTGGGAAAGCTTTGTTTCATTAACAATGAGTTTATAGATTATGTATGCTTGTTGGTACGTGTCACAGATCTATCAGGCTTTTTGAGTAAGCAGAATAACCCAAGAGTTGGCTCAATATCAGTGAAATCTGGTCTGTAGCACAGAGGGAAGAATCTTTTTGTTGTAATTTAATATGAAATGTGAGTAAATTGTTAAATGGGTTCCCATTCTTAAAAAAAAAAAAAAAAAAAAGCAACACTGATGTCCAGTATTGTACTACACCCTTTTGGGAACAATATATGACTATTAATAACATATGGTGCTAAAGTTATTTTGTATGTTTTGTTTAGAGATAAAAATACAAATATTATGTTGAAAGTGTAATGTTAAGCCTTACTGTAGATTCATATATCAGACTGTTCATCCCAGAAGAGAAAAATAAATATAGTATTTCAAAGTGCAATATACTAACATGTTTGTATGTCTTATTTTTTCTTCTATATAGGCCTCATGTCATAACAATTATAGGCATTAATTGGCATATAGAAACACTTGAGTCAACAGGGGGACCCAGGATGTTAGGGACCTATTAATTTATATTAGAGGGGGTGCATATTAGATGGGCCACCAAATTACTACTACGACTACTACAACTACTACGACAGACGACAACGCCCGCGGACGATCCACGAAGGCGCCTGATGACAACAGACGACAACCGATGACGACTGATGACGACCACTGCGACTGAAGATAGCTACTATGATTACTGTATAGAGGTCAGGTCTGGGTTTACAGGGGTAGAAAAGGGTGCATTGCTACCTCATTTAAAAGTGTTTGCACCCTCAGTTTAGACAAAATAAGACTAGAAAAGTATTGTATTTGCACCCCTTTGAAACTTGGACTTGGACGCTCAGTCAATTTAACCTAGTACAGGGGTCATCAAAGTAAGGCCCACGGGACTGCTTCGGCCCTTCACGCCCCTTTGACTGGCCCCTCAGCCCCTTCCCCCCCCACCACTTGAACGGGCTCTATAAGGCAATCTTTAAAAGTTGTCATGGTCTATTTTTTTTTTTTTTATTACTTTTTGGCAAATAACACGTCTGCATCTTGTATTTTGTTGACTTTTTGAATAAAAAATTATATTTCTATAAAGTATCCATATATAGTACGAAAAGTTGACAGAGGGTGCCGATATTTAAAGAACAAGGGACAACTGATTATTTTTTTGTTCAGTGTAAGGACCGTGCAGTTTGTCTAATATGTAAAGAAAGTTTTCAAAGAATATAATCTGCGTCGTCAGGGTCATACAATTTTGTTATACGGCCCACCCAACGCCGGCCCACCATCACAGTCAGGAGCGATAAAGTGGTGCCCAAAGATAACAGTTTGGTGACCCCTGGTCTAGTAGCCTTTGTGTACTACTGATGGTACAAGGTCCTCAGCAGATCTAGTAGATTTTTTATTTTTTTAAAAATTTTTTTTTACCTGCTTGGAATTGCCCTGCTGTAGACCATCAGATGGTGCTTGGAAGACAAAATAGACTTAGCGTTTTGAGTGGAAACCTACTTGGTTTGCTTTACATAGCCAATACAATATTTATTTCTCATCAATTTATTACATAAATAAATAAAATAAATGAATAAACCTTACTCATTCATTCCATATGTATTAATTAATAATTTGCCTACTCCATGGATAGATCCGTGATCTACTCTCAATACTAATTTCAGAGACTTAAAAAAAAAAAAAATTATTCATTTTGTGCATAGACTGTATGGTTTTGTGCGGTTGTGTGCTTTTGTTGTGGTTGTGACAAAGCGCAATGCATTCTGGGCACGGCTCTACGCCCAAAATGGCGGCACGATTGAAAAGTTTGGAGTCTCACTTTTTATCACGGATTTATTTACGTGTAGGTTTTAGTGGTTTTGACCGGGGTATGTTTTAATCGGCGACCCGGAGGCGTTTCTTTGAAATAAGAGGAGAGGAAATGTTTATCTTCTCCAGCGCTACAAGTTTTTTCCAGATTTACAGTAAGGTATGCTAGGCTAACTCTCAGGCTAGCATTTTTAGACGAGTTTGAGATTGATTTGAGCACAAAAGTATATGAAGTGTGGTCAAAGCGGGTTGTCCGAGCTGAAACAAATATGAAGTGGACTGCGGCGTAGAGATGGATGATGATGTGAAGAAAGTGAAAAAGGTACGTGCAGTTTAACATTGTTATGGTAACTTTCTCTAAGCTATTACTAAATCCTGTGTAAAGTTTGTCAGTCAGTGCGATATTAATGTTAATGTAGCTATGAAATAATCTTTGGGTAAACAAACAAGCCGCTCTGGGGTAAGTAGTTTATTGCGTTAATGCTTTTTTGTTCAGCCACTTTGTTGACAAACAAATTACTTGTTTATGAGCTTTGTATTTCTGTTTTTGCTTTTGTGTGTAATTTGTTAGTGTAATTATTATTATAAAAAAAAATAGTTTATCGCTTGAGCCACTTGGCGGCGATGTGGGACAACTTTCGTGCTTAAAGAAACAGCTGGCAAAGGGCTTCGTTAAAAATTAAGCCCTTTAATGAAAATGATTACTGTATGTCAGGCTCTTCTGTTCATATTGCACACATCACTATTCTGAAATAAATCCCAGTGCATTACATTGGCCTAAACTACCTTTAAATGACCTGTTGGTTGATAGGACAGCGTGCATGCTCCCCTTTCCTCTTATCCATGAATGTGACCAGTTTTGCATTGAAAGTAAAATTGCATTTCATCACACAGGAACTTGTGGCTGTCTATTTCCTGTTATGTGCTCAAGTTTAAAGACAGAACCTCTCTTCTTCCTCTCTGGGGCTCGCTTCACACCCACACAAACTGCTCAAGGCTTTGCCTCTCATTTAGCAGCTGTCAGTCACTGTCCCAGTGTAGCAGGTGGATAGTTACTGTAGTACACAGAGGAGAAGCACAGCGGCTTTTCTTTATATCTGTTTGGGTGTGTGAGTTCATGGACTACGAGGTAGGAGTTTAAAAGAAGTTCATCTAAACTATTAAAACTGTGTTTATTTTAATTTCATTGTTTACATGTCACTGCTGATGTAAGTAAGATTGACGTAAGACTACTTGAGAGACTCTGGTTATCAGTAGGATTTATGATATTTCATTGAGTGTTTTGGTTTTCTGCAAAGTGCAGCTTCTTTTTCCATTTGCTGTTGACACATGATCGAGACATATTGGGTAACAGCATGTAGTAGTGTAGTTTGGTCTCGTTGTTCTGCAAGTCCAATTGACAACAACAACAACCAACAAGATCAAAATATTTATACCTAAATGGAATACATGTATACATTATAATAGACATGGAAAATGTATTCATTTCTTTTCCACTCCTGTTTGGTTCTAGCCAGGTCTAGTGTCTCCATTCAAGCGTGTCTTCCTGAAAGGAGAGAAGGGGAGGGACAAAAAGGCTCAGGAGAAGGCCACTGAACGCAGGGCCCTCCACACCTTCTCACTGTCACAACCAGACCACCGTATTGACCCTGACATCCTGCTCAATGACTACATAGAAAAAGAAGTCAAAGTATGTTGATTGGATACTGGAATTATAAAAATAAAAAGCCAAGTAATTCAGTATTTGTTCATCCTTCACAGTACCTGGGCCAGCTGACATCAGTACCAGGATACTTGAACCCTTCAAGCCGAACAGAAGTTCTCCAGCTCATTGATAATGCAAGGGTTTGTGTTCTAATTATTAATTGCACAATTTATCTGTATGAATTTAAAGGTTTACGACCACTCTTTTATTAACTAATCTCTTGACTTCTTATGTTTGTGCATGTGTGTGTCCTGCAATAAATTGTTCTCCCTTAAGGACTATAGTTTATATTAATCTGTGGTAATCAGAATAAAAGGATAAACTGTGTTGCAGAGGTCCCATCAGTTGGCAGGCCAGCTGACATGTGAACAGGACGCAGTGGTGAGTTTGTCAGCATATAACATAAAACTGGTGTGGCGTGATGGAGAAGACATCATCCTCCGAGTGCCTATTCATGATATTGCTGCTGTGTCCTACATTAGAGATGACTCACTGCACCTGGTTGTGCTTAAAACTGGTACAATCACTGCTGGTTTAAATAGTTGTTGTTTTTCTTTGAGAAATTAAAGGTGTCTCTGTGTTGCAGCACAAGAGTCAGGCGGTTCTCCCTGCCCCAGTTCATGTCCTGATCTAAACAAGTCCCAGACACTCAGTTCTTTATCAGAGAGCGGAGGGGTGCTGGTAGAAGTGTGCTGCTTGCTGGTTCTTGCCGTTGATAACAAGGTAGATTAAGTTTTTAGTTATGCTTTACCTTTAAAATATTAATATTTGCCTAATATGTTTGTTATAATTACTTATTTTTACCTAATAGGCAGCGGCAGAAGAGTTGTGCCTTTTGCTAAGCCAAGTCTTTCAGATTGTGTACACTGAATCAACCATTGATTTCTTGGACAGAGCAATTTTTGATGGAGCAACTACTCCAATCAGACATCTTTCTCTATGTAGTGGTAAGGAGTTGTATTTTGCTTTGTAATTCCATGTTGTGCCATTATTTAATATCATCTTTGCTTGTTTTTATAGATGATTCTTCAAGTAAAGTGGATATCAAGGAGCCCTTTGAAGCTGATATTAATTCATTGTAAGTAAACATACAGTTAATGGGTCTGTGCGAATATCATAGACTGTATGGACGTAACCAAACCTGCTTAGCCGCCACACCAAGGAAGTGAGCATGGGCATGCTTCCGTCTCCATTGACTTTCCAATTCACTTTCTACTGAAAAAAACGCCACCCATCTCCCTATAACTGAGTTCAATACGGTTGATATTTGTGTTTGTGTCTCAGCCCCTTTCAGGACTCTGTGGAGGCAGAAGGAAACTCTCCCTTAGCTTCGACCCCCACATCGCCCCAGACAAAACCGGCCAGTGAAGGAGAGCTCAGTACAACAGCTGCTGAGCTGCTGCAGGACTACATGACCACTGTAATTCTCCCAAATATGCAGTTAAATGTTTGTGCCTTAGTCTAGACTCATGCCTTCTTTCTTCTCTTTATTCTTATAGTTACGGACAAAATTGTCATCTCAGGAAATTCAGCAGTTTGCCACTCTGCTCCGTGAATATCGTAATGGAGCTTCTATTCACGAGTTTTGTATTAACTTGCGTCAACTTTATGGGGACAGCAGGAAGTTTCTTCTTCTTGGTGAGGCTCTTTTCTTCTTCCAAATGTTCTTATATGTGTGTAATTTAGTTGTGTATAATAATTAACATTGTATGTTGCCAGGTTTGCGAGCCTTCATTCCCGAGAAAGACAGTCAGCACTTTGAGAACTTTTTGGAGACCATTGGAGTAAAGGACGGCCGAGGCATCATCACAGACAGCTTTGGTCGCTACAGGCGCACTGCCAGCTCCGCCTCAGATTCAACAACCAATGGGAACGGGGCAGCAGGAGGCAGCGGGGACAGTGTAGCATCCGATGAGGGCCAGGAGACTTCCGAGGGGGACGAGTGGGACCGTATGATTACAGACATAAGCAATGATATTGAGGCTCTGGGCTGCAGCATGGACCAGGAGGCAGTCACCCCATAGACACATGAAGGTAGTCCATCGTACTAACATGTCCTCTCTGAGACTCAGTAAAGCCAAATCATGAAGCCACCAATGCACTTATCCATACCATCAGTATGAACAGTTTGCAATGCACCATATTTTAAATTTATTGATGATTTTGTTCTTGTGTATTGGCAGTATCTGCCACTGTTGTTAGAAAAGTAGCAGCTTTCCAGAGCATGTATTTAAACTGTAGTTCTGGAGGAGGACTGTGTGTGTGGAGGCTTTTGTGCGGTTTTAAGTCAGTCAGAGCTCTGTGATTGTTTGAAGTATTTTTTGTGTTGCTTACTGAGAGTGTAACAGTAATATGGCATTTTTACACATTTTATGCATTATGTTTTGTTTATCAGTGTTTACTCATTTTTATATATTAGCTTATTTCAAACTGACCAAATACTGTGCTGTACAACAAGTACAGTATGTTGTAGCATTTTTATTTCAGATTTCTACACATATGGCCTAGCTGTGTTCTCAGATACAAGGTAGACATGTTCAAATCAAATATTACTCTTGCAGTAATTGTAATGGTGCATAGCCTGTTCAAATACAGAGAATGAGGAAAAACTTGTACCGGTATGTGTCCCCTATTTGCAGGTTAAGGCACTGGCAACCCAGATTCAGTTGTGATTGTACTTCCTTTTTTAAACCAGGAAACATGCTACATACTGTACCTTCAGGCAATTTAGAGAAGCAGACAAAGCCACAAGCCACTGGCTGATGTAACTGAACAGATAATACTCTTGTCAATCATTCATATTATAACTGTGTATCCTTGTGCCTTTACTGCAGCAGCTGTATGTGCTGTTTACAGAGTTATGCTGAGAAAATGCTGGTTATTAAATAACAAGTTATTTTACTCTGGTTGTCCTACTGTTAATTTTAAATTTCAACCTCGAAACTGCTCAAAAGGTCAGAGGGTTTCATTTCTGATCATCTGCTTGAATGCCTTAAGCTCCTGTGGAACTTCAGCCTGAATATGTCAAAGCATTCGTGTCCCAGAGCACTGAAGGGCCAAACCAAGGATTACTCCAGACTGCGACCGGCACTATTTATTTTACAGCATTTACAAAATGACACTCTTGTTTATTTGATTCAGTATGAAATGAAGGTTATGCTTTAAAACATAAAGCCAATGAGAAGCCTGAAAGGGTAAATGATCTGAGCACTGAAACAACACACCCATGCTTAGGTTACAGCTTGCATCTCTGCAGTAACAGGACACTGCGGTGTGAGACGGCCCATACTGAACTGGTGTTTTGATTCTAAAATGGCATAGCACACACACAGATTATGAATTTGCATTTTGTGAAAAATTCTTCAACCGCTGAACCTGAATCTAAAGAAGTGATAAAAGTTCATTATCAGATATTGCCATAATTCTGTTTGCTTGTCACTTTTTGGCATGTTGTATACAGTTTATGCATGAAATTTCTTACTGTCACAAGTGCGTAGGTGTTCTGTAGGTGTTCAGTGAATAGGTGTTCTGGGAGCCCATAACTGTTTATTACAAAAATGTATATGAAAGTGCCCATTTTGACAGGGTTTTCAGTAGAGATACTATGACTACACCAAGACATCATGCATAAAAACTACAGCCTCAGCACAGTCATTCATAATAAGCTATTTAAGCTCCATCCCCAGAAGGCCAGGGATTCAGACATTCTCACATGCAAGCCCCTAAGCACCCCCCACAGAATTCAAACTATGAGAACTAGCGCTGTCCCCAGGTCCTTATGTAACACTGGATAACCCAGAGGAAAAACAAGGACTACAGACAGACTGGCCATGTCATCTGGCAAACAGATGACTCATATTTACCCAGTATGGATTTAATCATAGTCACACCTCATTGAACACTTAATATAATCTCTTGACTGTTACAAGATGATTGACAGTTCCTTCTTTTGCCCTTTTGCAGGTGGCTGTAAACAGTATCAGCTCCTTGTTTAAATATTATATAGCAGGAAAACATACTTTTACTTTAAAGGTAGCAGCGGAATTTGTATCTTGTCAGATATGTCATTATTGCAAATGAAAATTTTAAATTGAAATGAAGGAGTGATTCCTGTTTACTTATCAAAATGTTAGATTTTTCCATATAGAAATTATACGTTAACACACTAACTTTGGATACTGGTAGGCTAAAATCCAATCAAATGCACACAAAAAAACAAAAAAAACATCTGATTGCAGAACATTTGTTTCTTTGCAGAGTTTATCACCTAAATACTTAAATACTGTGACATCAATTATATTTGATTGTGATATATTGTTCAGCCCTACATCCTAGCAAGAATCCAAAATTACTTGAAGAGTCTGTAATTGCCATCAGTGCTGCTAGCAGAGTGAGAAGCGTCGTGAGTTAATGTTCATCTTGGTGACCCCAATGAGGCGCAGGGGGGCAGATAGTGCCAGTCCCGGAGTCACTGGGCACTCGCACAGAAGGTCCGACAGCTCATCTCTCTCTTCCAGGCTGTAGGTGGCATCATTGAGCATTCGTCGGTGAAGGTGGCAGGCCTGCTCGATCTTCAGCTTGTTTATGTCTCCTCTGAGCTTCATGAGCTGCCTGGCCAACTGCTGATCCTGCACACGCATGTCAGTCTGCAAAAGAGAAACTCTGCTATTAGATGATGAGAATATGTATTCTTTTCAATGCACACATATAAAATTACCAAAAATTACACTTTTTAGACGTTTTATTCAAGTGATCTCTTTTTATTCACCTTCATTTTGTAGGCCCTTGCAACTAGAGTCAGAATAAACATTCTTCAGAAGTAAAAATGCCACTAACTATTGAACAAAAAAAGTCATTTGTTTTATTTTTGCCCTGCTGTTGACAAAAATAATTTACATGACAACATATAGCGTTTTCATTTCTGCTAATTCAGAATCCTGTTATGTATTAATGGTTACATAGCCCTATTAAATCTGTCTAGGCCTCTTTGCACTCAGTCTAAGCTGATGAGGCATGATTAAATGACTGGTGTAAGTAACAGAGCAGCTTAAAAACAATTACACTAAAACAAACTACAGATGCAATTTCTTAAATCTTAATAAATTTCGCTCAGTAGGATTATCATCTCTCCTAGTTGGACATGAACAGCAATTCAATCCTAATTGGGAGGACATTATATGCAATGATAAAAATTTGTGTTGTCACAATACTAAAAATGAAAACTGGATTTTAATAAAGGATAATGCTTGATAGTCAGTGATACCACAATGATAAAAAAACAGACTTTTACACAATAGAAATTTTCTATTAAAATAATTAATTTAATAATTAGATTTTTTAAATATTACGATGTGGTCTTGTACTAGCTCAGACATAGATCAAAACAATTGTAAAACTCAGAAAAGGCCAAATTTGTCCTATTTATAGATTTCTTTATTCCTATCCAGTATCGATACTTGAAATTTGCTTAAAGTTTTAATATATTTTAGTAGCCTACTGATTAATCTCTTGTTACCAATTTTTATGACAACCTTTATAGGCGCATGCGATCTAAAGCTCCATATAAACTGACCTTCAATATTCACATATATGGCCTTACCAGTTCTCTCCTGAGGTAATCTAGAGCCTCATCGATGTTGCTGTATCCCTGCAGTACATCCGAAGACAGTGAATTCTCCTTCTGCACCAAACCATCATCCACTGGGAATTGCTCATATCCTGTCCTTAATTCCCCAATGATATCTTTTGCAGTCAATCTTTCTTTCCATTCCAGGTAAGAAGGTCTCCTAGTCTGCAGGTTCAGTTTCTGTGTCAGCGCCTTTAAACTGTCGAGATGGTCGTCTGAGTCAAAATCCTCTATGCTTTCTGCTTCTTCCATGGCATCATCTGTCACCACTGTGATCTGGGGAACTGAAGGGGCATCCATGACTTTTCAAATTGAAATCATGGATTTACTAGCTTCTTTCTGTGAAGAGATAAAGTCAATGTGAAAAATGCACATAAGGTGTAGCGAACTAAGGGTAACAAGCCTGAGTTTTGAGCCTGAGCAAAATGGAGAGGACTGGCACATAGATCTTAACAAAGGCTATGCACAAACATGTACTGGTGAAGCTAAAAACAATAAATGTATTTCAAGCAACATCTCAGATAACATTTTTTTCATTCTGATCATTAATTTGCATACTGATTTCACTTTTTTATGCAGATCCCTGTGGCTATTTTAAAATTAATCTCAGCTTAGAATGGTCACAAACACAGTACACTGCTGGCTTGTCACCTTAACCAAAATAACGGACAAATGCAGACTATGTAAATATGAAAGAAAACCTTAGTAATTAACCTTCATTGAATTTTGAGGTGAAGTAACTAACCACAATAGCTACTCCACAATAGGTAGAGCAGCAGTGAAGCCATCGCCCTTGTACAGTAATGAGAGAAACCTGACTGTGCACAACAGGGAATGGATCTCCATATTCGTTAAAGGAATCCAGTTTGTCTCCAGGGGCCGCATTGTCACAGACGAAAAGTGACTGAGCAGGAAAATCTATGCTCCATGCATTTTTAAACACTTTGTACATGCCATTATGTTGACTCAGGATGTGGTAAGATATTAGATAATGAAGTTAATAAAAAACATTTTGTTGGATTTCAGAAACCCAACTGCAGCCCGTACAAAGGAAAACAAATATTGAGTTATATTTGGCAACTAAGTAAGAAATGTTAAACCTATTATAACTAGACTAATGCTCGTTTGTTTGTGTTTTGTCCTGATGATTCTCCTTTACACAACAAAAATGTACGCCTTTCTGATAGAATTTCTGGGTAGTGTTTCACAACTGCTGAGAGTAACACTAGAAACAGAAGTAAAGGAACTTAGAAAGGAAAAATGGTCATTGAAGACAGAGGTGTAGTGTTGTTGGGAGCACGGTTAAGCCTGGGCTCCTCAACATTGACAGATTATATGACATTTTAGTGTCAATACCATGCAAAATTATCAAGCACCACATAAGCTTAATTTTAACATAACTAGCTTTTTTTTTTTATAAATCAATGAACATGCTTTAAAGTAAGTCTTTACAAAACAACTTGTTTACAGTTTTTGTTCTATATAAGAGGGTACAATGTATTTGGGTCTACTGCATAGCCTATTTCGTTCTTGTTCCAGTGCATTCTAAATTTACCGCTATTACTGTGCATGGGAAATGTTTAAAAATATAAGCAACTAATTTCAATTAGTATGACTATAAACTAGAACCAAAGCGTTAATTGATCATTTGAAGCACTGATGCAAAGACAGCCTATTTATTCTGAGCTAAAGTAAGTAGCACTTCTTCTGCCTTTTATGGACTAATTTAATTCTGACACATAAACCACACAGATACCAACAGAGCTGAGGAAATTTTGCCAGTTGCGTAAATAGGGAAAAACCCGAGAAACGAGTATATTGTACACCTATAGAGTTGTTTACGCACCTTGCTGGCCAGTTTGAAGATGTCCAAGTGTTTCCGCCCTGGTGCACCCTCGACTCGTGGCCCTGGGCTCTCGCCACCTCGTGCGTAAAAAAGGGTCCGGTTAAAGGAGGAGTGGCGTGGAGAGCGTGCGTCAGGTTTAGGTTGCTTGGAAACGTCCCAGAGATGTGTGACACTTCCTTATAAAAAATCAAGATAAATCAAGCAAGAAGAATGTTTTTCTTCTTGTTCTGTTTATTATCACGTAGAAACACACGACCATAATAGCTAAATATTATTTATACAAAAAAAATGCTATAGAGTATTGTGACCAAATTGTTACAGCAAACAACACAATAAAATAATAGGGTCTGAGAAATCTGTAGTGCTTTAAGTATACATTTGAAACTATTTAATACACACAAACCTGTTGTCTTAGGTGACTGTCTAATCTAAAGCAACATTGAAAAACACAATTATGAATGGTCCAGACTAATTGAAAATATTGATGAATTTTGGCAGATCATCAGCGACTGTAAAGTTATGTTTTTATAAGGCCTTATCTAGAAAATAGAGACAACACAAACAAAACTTAATTAAAAAGACATAAATTACAATATCATAAATTAAAATAAGCGCTTTGCAGTGACATAAAAAAACTACTTTTTGGCAATTAACTAAAAATAACACATACATAACTGCTGATACATAATAATTAGGTCCCTGAATGTGCAGATTTGCTAGTATGGAGCCTTATAGAGTAAGTTCTTCGATATCATCATCAAATGAGGTAATAGCACAGATGGCTGGTTTTGTCTCTGCGATTTGGATTGTACTTTTGGATGCTGTTGGGGGAGTGTGCGACCCTGAGTGCAAACTGTGCATCATTTCCCTTCTGGATCTGAGGCCATTTGAGCTGGGAGGACTACTGAGAAGGTCTGTGTTGTTGTTCTTCACACTGTCAGTTGTGGCTATGTTACCAAAGAGCTGCTGCATAAGACTGGACTTTCTGTCTTTCTCCATTTTTTTCATAATATCCTTCTCTTTCTCTGTGTCTGTTTTCTTGATGCTAAAAACTCCTATAGCCTCGAGTGCAGATCCCTTGTCCTCTTTGGGTGGAGTCGGAGGTAAGTTAGAAATTCCCCGAGAGGCTGTGTGTCCAAATGAGGGAGCGTAGTTTCCAAAAGCCAAGTCGTCAGATGATGTTTGAGTTCGGAATGCTCTTCTGCCCAAACCAGTTGTAACACCTCCGCTCTCTCTCTCTGCTTTCTTCCTCACCCCTTCTCTACTTTCACGCCCGGCATTAGGCTGATTGTCCATCTGTGTAAGGGTAAAAATTGAAGTGCTTGGACCTCTCTGCTCAGAAATATTTGTCAGTTTTGGTTCATTAAAAATAGAGTAATTTGTGGGTTGATTTTGTTGGTCTATTTCACGCATCTTGGCCAGGAGATGCTCTTTCTTGCGATATGCTTCCTCTGCTGCTTGCTGATTGGTCAGAGTCTCCTGGTTCAACCTCTGAACTTCTTCCTGTACATGACCAGGTCTAGGACTTTTCTCCTCCACCTTCTGGTCAAAGGGACTTGCTACATCCCCATTCAGTTCCTTTTTCCACTCTGTAAATACATCGGTATAGTATGGTATGTAATAGTTAATGTGTTACATCATTTAAATAATAGTTTGTCTTACCTTCTTTTAATGTCTTTTGGGTCTCATCATTTAGATTAGACTCATGACTCAACTGCTGTTTGTAATTTGCCTCTTGATCTTGGGCCTTTACCTGTACTTGTACTTCTGTCTGGCCCTGGTTTGATTGTTTGTGCTGGCTTTGTAGATCTTTGTTAAGCTCCTATGAAATAATATCAAAATAAGATAAACCATAAGTCATACAAAATAAATTATTGATTAGAATTCAGTGTCAGTTTACCTTGAGTGACAAATATTCATCGTATTCATTGGCATCAGTGATAGCAGGGGGAGGCGTGGGGAAACCCAAACTAGATAACTCTTGTCTATCTTCAGTCTGCACTGCTACTGTGCTCATTCTACTCAAGACTACATTTAGGAAAACACAAGCAACTTTAAATAACAAGTCTGAACCATAGAGAATCTAAATGCACAGATAGCTGATAGACTTACATTTCCGTTTGGTGCCACTCTCCATTTCTTTCCTTTGCGAGAGTTTTAACATGCGATTAGCATAAATGTTCTTAGCATCAAGTTCTCTATCTTTTTCCTTATAATAAAAAAAAATTATTGATTATTAGAAAATGCAATTGTTAAAATAGGCAAAAATGCAATCACATATTACAATGCCAGTTGTGTGTCACCTTGAGTTTGTTGGTCAGTCGTTCCAGCTCTTCTTGAAGAGTCCTGATTTCTTCCTGAGCGATAACGGCCTTCTTTTTCTCTGACATGAGCTGTCTCTGGAAGCTGCCAGCGCTCAGCTCAACACTTCGCTCAAGCTCCTTTAAATACAGAGACAGACAATGATGCATTTACCAAAAGGTAAAATTTATTAGAACAATCAATATATTTATGAGAAATCTATAGAAAAAAACAATACTTTTATTTTGCGTTCAGCTTCCTGTCTTAGTCCTTTCTCCTCATCAAGTTTGCGAGTAAGCTCGTCCCTCTGTCCCAAATCTCGCTGGTTAACCAGTTTCTTTAGTCGCGCCACAGTGGCCTGACTCCTCAGGAGCTGCTCCTCACTGTCCTTCAAACGGCGCTCCACTGTGCGCTCCCGCTCCTGAGTGCGTCTGAGCCGCTCACGCAACACATGCACCTCGTTGGAATGTCGGGAAATCAGCTGTGAAATCTCACTCTCTGTGTCATCATAACGGTGTAAAGCCTTCTCTTGACGGAGCTGGAGCTATAATGTAAAAAATGAAGGAAACTCCATTTAAAACATAATGTAAATGACAGTTCACTAAAACTGTGAAGTTAATTTGGTTTATGTAGACCTGTCTGAGTACTCGGTTTTCTTTTTGCAGTTCTTTGGTGTGTTGTTGAAGCTCAGCAAGGGCATTACGTAGTTCATTAATCTTTAGAAGACGGGCAGAGAGCATTCGTTTTGTGACGAGGTCCAGATCTTTGGATGGAGACGCTTCTTTGCTTTGTGAATGTACTCCTCTACGAAGCTGCTGAGACCCAGACTGCCTACCAGCTCGCTGAGGCCGTGGGGCTCCTTTGTGCCCCACTCCACCTGAGAAACATAGACTTTTACATAATGATTACTTTAATATGAACTTTACCAGCATATTAAACTATGCCTAAACAAAAAATACCCAACAATACCCTTTTATATGTTAGATTTTTTTTTTTTTTAAACCACAGAACTAATACTAAGAAGATGTCAAATAATAAGTTAGCACATAAAGAGCAATAAATTACAAATTACAATTTAATAATTTGAAATACCTGTCTTATAGGGAGGGCTACTCAACACCCTTTTGGCTGGTTTTCTTTGTGGGGTTGGAGATGGAGAGTGGGACCGTGAGTATGGTGAGAGAGATTGCTCTGATGGAGAATCATAATCGTCTGAGTAATACGACTTCTTACTTCTTCTGCTGTCTTCATCTGATATTTTGTCTCGGTCTGGGTCTGAATGGTAAATCCGTGTTTTTGAACGGCTGTCAAATTCTTGTTTTTCTTCTTCATTCCTGAGCTTGTAATTTTTGACAGAATGTGAATCTTTCTTTGTACTATGTGTAGACTGGCGACTCACAGCCCTGTTGTCTTCATCTGGATCAGGCAAGTTTTCAGACTCCATGTTATTACTGAACATTCTATGTAGAAAACAAAATAGTTAATAATTCATAATTGTTAAAACAAATTGTTGAATCACACAAAAATGTCCAAAATAAAAGTAGACAAACACACTTTTTCTAATCATTAATAAACACTAGAGGTAATTTGTTTTGACTTATTATTGTATGGTCACTACACAACAGAATTCATTAGGTAAAATTTTCCATAGGACTCAAGACTCTTAATTATATCATTCATTATTACAAACCTCGCTGTCTCTAGACAGACCTCTGTCCCCAAGTGTTCAAGTCATTATACAAAAGCACACGAGCACACCACTACTAGACAATGTTTACATCATTTCAAAAAGTAAATTGTACATACTTTTCTACTTCTTCTACTACTACTGCACTCTCTTCTCTTGCTAGTTATATAGATATACTTAAGCAAAAGTATTCGCTGTCGAATTATATAAACAAAACAACTTTAAGTAAGGCAAGCATCATCTTGCATCTAACAGCTCTTCAGCTGCGGCGTGACAGATAGGATTAAAGAAGGCCATCTGTATTTGACAGGTCTGATTTCGTGTTCGCTTTAGAGTAAGAGCAATAAAAAGCATACTTCATTGCGCAGCGCTTCCAAAAACAACCTTCAGCTAACGTTAACTGATTTAATAAATAGCCACGACGATGCCAAGTAATTAGATTTTATGTAAGCAAATTGTAGGTGCAACATGAGCCTAACTAGCTTTACAATCAACAGGTGTTTAAGGGTGACGTGTTTCTTAAGAGTCAAAAAGCTCACATTTCACCGCAAAGATTGTTAATAAACGTCTGACTTTAAACATCTACATTGATTATCCAACGACAAATAAATAACAACAATAGTTTGTCGACTAAAAGCTAAGCTGCAGCTAGCGGTTAGCATTACGGAATGAATAGCTTCGTAGCTACCTTATGAAAGGGTGTCATCATCATTGAAAACAGGAACAGTATTTTAAATAAGAAGCTATTTAGCTGTAAAAGCAGTCGTTGGCAGCATGAATCGACCAGCTTTCTGATGTTGTGGTGATTTTAGTTGCACGCCTTCAGTCGAGCCACTGACGCTCTGGCTGTACCATGGCAACAGCAGCCCGTTGGACGATACCATTGTTCAACTTCAAAACGCGCTGTAAAAACTGCACACTGCAACGAAATAAAGCTTTTAATTATTAGACTAAATTTTTAAACGTTAAATGTTTTTTATTTTTACAAAGAATATAAATAAATCAAAACTAAAAGCACAAACACAAATGACCTCACCCACACCGAATTGTCTTTGCTTTACTCTCCTGTGCCACAGAGAGGAGCTGTTGGAGATGGAGCAGTTTTCCATGCTTCCACTTTTTATATATAAACTGGGATTTTATCATATATTGTATACATTGACTTAATATTGATACTACCTTTTGACAGAGTCATAAAACTTCTTATTGTAATTTTATACTCTATCATATTATTCATTAATAAGATTAAGTAAAAAGCTATCAAGTTGACTAAAATAATAGCAATCTCTTTTAAACACAACGAAATATTGTGTGTGGTGGTAAATATTTAACAAATGAAATCATACTATTAGAAATTATTTTTGAATTGTTTAATGTTTCAAAATTTTGGGGCTGGCAAACATAATTAAGTGAACAATTTGCGTTTGATTGACGCGTTTTATTAAGAAATGACTCGACCGGAAGTTGGGCGTTTTGCATCTGTGCTGAGTTAATCAAGATTTAATTTATATATTCGAGATGCGTCTCTTGAAAGTAGGTAGGGGATAACGCGCACAATTGTTTGTACGAAAAGACTCCAGAATACTGGGGCACTCTGGCACTTTGGGATAAAATGGTAGTAAAGGTTTACGTCGCATCTTCAACTGGCTCTGTCGCGGTAAGTGGCAAACGCCGAAATGCATTTGTTTGAGATGTTGACATTTGTACAGAAGTGGCTTTGAGGGGCAGCAACGTAGAAAAGTACTAAGCATTTGTCAGGTTAAAATATTAGTCTAAAAATAATCCGAAGTGCACTTTTCACTCTGATTAGGCTAGAACTGTTACTTCAAAAGGTCAGTGTAACAGCAACAGTTTTAGTATTATTCACGGCATGCCGTTTTTTGTTTTTTTTTTCACGCCTAGTTTACAGTGCAAGAGTTCATCTCTGTATGTATTAGGCTGCAGTAGATGCACTCAGAGAAGAAAAAGTGTGCGCAAAAATGGTTATCAGAACTCCTGAGCAAATACCTAAAGTCTTAGGTAATGGCTGGAATGAGTAATTTAAAAATCTATTTCTGTTATTGTTGGAGTCTGCACAATTCTCATTATTCACAAGTTATTTTTAGTCTTATGACAAGCTGACCATTTCGGCGAGATTTGAAGCCTGTGTGTTATCTGGCTCATGTGAATGTAATTGAATTGCTGTAGCCTACAATTGGGTTACATGTGATTGAATAAAGAGGTGACATAATAGGGCTTCATAGAAGACATGTGTGTTCAAGGAAAGTACAGTGAACAATTGACTATGTAGTCCCGAAATGGGCAGCTCAAAACAAAAGCTTAGTGGAGCAGAATAACAGGACCAAATGAGATGCAGGAAGGTTTATCCTTCTCATTATCTGTGTCATTCAAGAGCCATGCATATATTTAGCTGTCCATATGACATTTTCTTTTAGGAAATAGGGGATCAATTTGTCTCATTTGGCGTTTCTCTATAAATCAGTTAGTGTTTAACCTTTAATTGTCGTGTGTATTCATTAAAAAAAAGTTTTTATAAGCCCACTTTAGTTTGAGGATTAGGATTTCATGGTTGCCTGAAAGTTAATCCTTATATTTAGAATGATTGTTTTTGTGTGTGTGTGTGTGTGTGTGTGTGTGTGTTGGTGAATTGAGTCTATGTAATCCACTGTATCCATGCTTTGATGCACAGTAGTGTCTCTCACTCTCAGTGTGGGCCACCTCTTTCATTATTTACACCATAGGTTCTTCTCTGTCATTTGGTTGCACTCAAATAATACTGTTTAAGCAAATGGGTTTATGATATTGACATAGTTCATAGTTCATTATTTTATTTCCTGTAGCCATGTACAATTTAAACCATCTATCTGAACAACCCTGTATTGTTTGTGATACAATAGGGCCATTGTGCTACCCAATCCCCATCATGATTACACTACATACAGACACTTTAATTATGTTTAGGGGTTTTAAGAAGCAACACTTTGAAAACTGGGAGAAGGACTCACTGAAATCATTGATCAATTATTAAATAGAACAACTTACATTTACAAACACCAAATGTACTATATTGACTGTGTTACAAATATGCTGCATTTTTCCATTATAAGCTGTCCATGGGAGTTTTGGCTTCTATAAATAACATTCACAATCACACAATCGTAGAGGATCCCACAGGGAGTTGCAGTAACCGAGCACTGATCTGGGAATACTTACTTTGTTCTTTCAAGGAATGGATTTCCTCCTTTATTCATGATTTAATGCACCAGTGATGATGCATTAATCAATCAGTGAAGATGATAAAATGCTAATTCATGTTGAGGCCAGGCTGACATGAACAACCAAACTAGTTTTCTGGTCTTTTTTTCTGCCACCGGAAATTAGGGGGGAAAAGTATGCAAAACTACATAAATTAAAAAGTTTAGATGTAGCATGTTCTGAAATAGACACATTCTTTTTTTAGCTTTTCAGTTCATACTTCAGTCTTCTCAAATGTTGATGCTACTGACCATGTTTAAAATAAGAAACTTTTATAACAATTATGTACCTTTCAAAATTTACTCTGACTCTGCAAAATCTGCATGTTGATCTAGTAACCCTTTGAACATTTATAGTAACATATAAATAACAAGCAAGATCTAGTGGACAGCAATGTCACGGAAATTATTCATATACCCCAGGCCTGAATAATAGTGATATGCAACATGCCTAAATCCTAAATGTCCTTGTGTCCTCAGATAAAAAAACATCAGCAGGATGTGGTAGGCTTTCTTGAGGCCAATCGGATCAACTTTCAGGAGGTAGACATCACAATGTTGGAAAAAGAGAGATTGTGGATGTACAACAACATTCCCAAAGACCGGCAGCCGGAGAAGGGAAGACCTGTGCCTCCACAGATCTTCAATGAGGATCGATACTGTGGGGTGAGGGTTTTTGTATTCTAGGATTGTATTGTCTTTATATAAACAAAAGATTATTTTATATGCATTATCCTCAAATGACCTAGTGGAACTCCTCTCTCTGCAATACAATACAATGCCAGCAGATGCCTATCATACAAACAAACCAACTGCAGACAGCTTTTTTGCTTTGTATGTACTTGTATGAAGCAAAATATAACACTTATGGTCATGTTGTTTGGTCAGGCTCAAATTCACACTTCTCCTTCTGGATCCCAAGTAACAGGTTATGGTCCTGGCAAAACAAAATATACTATCATTGCTATTGCACAGATGAATCTGATAACAGCTGAATAAAATACTGGGGTAAAATGTTCTGATGGGCCTTAGTTATGCCTCAGTCAGATTGCATGCTTCACTGTAATCCTGATGTAATCCAGTTTCATGAACGTACAGATAATCTGCTCTGCCAGTTGTTACTCTCACTGACCAAGGTAAACCAATGTCACTGCTAGTGCATTGAACATGGAAGCACAATCACTTGGGTCATGTATTAAATAGGAACATGCTGCATTATGCAAAAATAATGTCCTCCGTTTGCAGGACTATGAAGACTTCTTCCAGTCCAAGGAAAACAACACAGTGTTTGTATTTTTGGGCCTCAAGTCAAAACCCTCCATAAAAGTAAGGAGTAATTTTATTTCATGTTACAGTCATGCTGGCCTCTCGTTCAAAACTTGCCATGCCATTTCTTTCTGTCTCATATAAATACAAGCCTTTCTATGTAATATAATGCATATGTATTTTTTCCAGGATTCTGAGTCCTGAAACATATGGATGATTTGTACAAATACCTTAAGAAGCCATGGACTCTACCTGTGTTGCATTAGCATATCAAACTTTTCATGTATGCTCTTTTTGTGCACATATTGCCAAACACCAAAACTCTGTGTGATCCTGCTCTTTATCTTCTGACCAGAGAGCCAAGAATTTGTGCTTTTGTGTTTTTAACTGCACCAACTGCACCACAGCTGTTCCAGTCAGAAGTCTTACTGAATAAGAGTTGATTTCTGGATACTATATCTTTATATTAAAAGTAATATATTTATACTTGTACTTGTAAGTAGAATTACAATCACAAATTGCTATGAAATTCACGCTTGGTTAGATTTATTTTGGATCTAGTCTGTATGATTTAGATAAAAAGAAAGCTACAAAAGAAACATACATGTTTTTTACACTTTGCTATCTACTAATTACACTTTGTTGGAGAATAAAACCTTAGATTCCAACATTATTTATGTTATTTCCAGCAATTAATGAAAATAACAACTGTTACTCAATTGATTTTAGTTTTCAAGTAATAAAATTGGCTATATCTTGTTAGTTTAACCTTAATTTAGTTCAATGTTGTTTTTGTTTTTTATCTCAACACCTAACTGGTCTTCTGTTTCTGTATATGTCCTAATTTCACTCAGATTGAAAAGTAAAATATTATCCTTTAGTTTAGGGTGCAATTCTGATGTGTTGTCGACATACCCGTCTGTCCTGATTTGGACTGAAGTGGGAGGCAAAAAATCAATACAATTGTTTACCAGGCCAGTATACAGTTTTAATTATACAATATTTTACTATTAAGATTTGCCATTTACAGTTAAATTAAATGGGTCAAATGTTCTCCAGAAGGGGCAGTTTTGTTTGTTCTTGTGAAATTTGGACTTTTCCATCTCAAACCGTTGGATCTGTTTGTGACTGCGTAAGAATATGCTTTCTTCTGTTGTTTTAATGATTGATCACAGAGTCAACAAGTGTCCCATTTGCAGTCCATTTCCCAGCACTCGTTTTTTCTTGAACATGTCCGCTCAACTCATATGAATTCTATAATGTTTGAATGAATTTAATTTGAGCATTATTATTTTAGTCATGTGATGGTTGTTGTATTGCTGTTTTTCTGAAACCAACAACTTTTAAAAAGCTGATATTGGTGGTTGTAAGCTTCAACATGATCTTCCCTTCGTCTGAAAAGAGCATATTTTATTGGTTTATTGGTGAGTTTTTTTTATTTTATTTTCATGTTCTTTTAAAGAAATGCTACAAACCAACAAATAGTTTACATGGAAAGTGGCACTTTTGGTGTTTAGTTGAAATTACCTCAAATGTTTGTGGGAGATGTATTTTCATCTGGCCTTGTTCTTGTCACTTTTGTTTTGATTGGTTATATGTACAGTATATGAATTGAGTTGGTGTGAAATTAATGTTTTGTGTTCTTTTAGGTTTTCTAAGTCTGCCACTAGTTGCAGGTAAGTAGTGCTAAAAATGTTTTAGCTTATTGTATGGACTTTTGGATACAGTTAATTGGGTTCTTGTGTTTAGAGTGTAACAAAATCCGGCTGGTGGGTCCTTCAAGATGCTCTGGCAGAGTGGAGGTCTTCCATCAGGACAGCTGGGGTACCGTGTGTGACGACAATTGGGGCCTGTCCAATGCAGAGGTGGTGTGTCGTGAGGTGAGCTGTGGAACGGTGGTGGAAGCCAAGACCGTGGCCTTCTTTGGGCAGGGGAAAGACCAGATCTGGCTGGATGATGTGCATTGTACGGGACATGAGCTTTCTCTCATGAAGTGTCGACACAGACCTTTTGGGGAAAACAACTGTGGCCATGGAGAGGATGCAGGGGTCATATGTTCAGGTACATTCAGCAAATAAGTAAAATAACTGAAAGTCAAGTTACAGTTTTGTGCATTATCAATGTAATCCTCAGCCACACCAAGTGGTGCAAGCCACTTTTAGCTCCAGCTGCTCTAGAGGTTATTAATTGACTAATCAGTGTCTTACCCAAGAACACATGTTAAGGATTTGAACCACATAAAGAAAAATTCTAGTCAGTCTATCAGCAAAGTGTCACTGAATACATTGAATACATAATGATCTATAATGTTAATATGTGCAATAGAGGATGCACTACTAATGCTCAGTGTCCATCAACTAACTTTCTGCTAAATGCTTGCAGAAAATTTGCGACTGCTGAATGGTAGTGACAGTTGTCGTGGCCGAGTGGAACTCTATCGTAACGGACATTGGAAGAGAGTGTGCTCAACACAGTGGGGGGAGAAGGAGGCAAGTATCATCTGCCAGGAGCTGCACTGTGGTCTTCCTGATCTTTCTCAAACTGGAAAGCTTCTTTTTGGAGCTGCAGCCAGAGAAGGTGGAGTCAAAACAAGCTGTGCAGGAAATGAGACCTCTTTCTCCAAGTGTGGTCATGAAGAATTGCGGGAAGTCTGTGTGGATGCTACTGTTGTCTGCTCAAGTAAGTCATTTTTATTAAATACAGTGATACACATTCACTTAAGTATTTTCTGAGTGCGTCATGTGAGATACCTTTGAATGTTCTTTCCTTAAATGTCACAGATAATAAACCAATCCGAGTGGTCAATGGAACCACCAGGTGCTCAGGTCGAGTGGAGATCTACCATGCTGGACAGTGGGGCACCATTTGTGATGACCACTGGGGTATGCACGAGGCCAATGTAGCCTGCCGCCAGTTAAACTGTGGAAATGCAGTGGCAGTCAAATACAAAGCGTTTTATGGCATGGGCACTGACCAGGTTTGGATGGACGATATTGACTGCACCGGGAGGGAGAATGCTCTGGCTGAGTGTCCACACAGAGGCTTTGGGGACAGTGACTGTGACCACAATGAAGATGCAGGTCTAGTATGCTCAGGTGCGTGTCATTAGGTTTTGTGCTAAATATGAGCTGTGGTAACTGAAAATGTAATAGTGTAATAGTAATCCTCTATTTTATGCCCAAATAATAAACAATTAGCAAACAATGCTGCAGACTTGTTTGTCCATTCATTATGTAAACCAAAGCCGAAGTAGAAATATGGAACAGATGGGCTCAAACATATAGTCTAATACTGTCTCATTTGTGCTTTTCTCTTCTAGAGTCAGTTAGGCTGATCAACGGCACTGACCGCTGTTCTGGCAGATTGGAGGTTTTTCATAATGGTCAATGGAGCAAGATCTGCAACACTAACTGGGGCATGGATCAAGCTAAGATAGTGTGCAGGGAAATTGAATGTGGAGCCCCTCAACAGCTTCATGAAACTCTGAATTTTGGTGACAGCGGAGCACAAAGAGGTTACACAGCCAGCTGCTCTGGAAGTGTAGACTCAATCTCTCAGTGCAGAATACAGGAGAACAGAGGGTCGTGTGATGGAGTTTTTTTGTCATGTGCAGGCAAGTGTGAAATTGAAAGTGAATATTGTTTTGGATTTTTCTGAAAATGTGAATTGTCTTTCCTGTAGCACACTGGCTTCTTTCTTGTTAGATGCATGTGTGACTATAATTTGCCCGTATTAGGAGGAATGGGTTTCTTAAGCATAATGGGTAACACTTACATCTAAATAGCCAAAGAATGTAGAAAGACCTAATTCATAATGAACATAAATTCATTAAAATGATTCAGGCTAAATCGGTCAGGCTTAATTAATTCCCTAACCCTTTTATTAAGTAGGCCTAGTTACTAAGCCTTGTGAAACTATTTGTTTGTTGTGGGTTAAGTCTCTTCTCATGCTTTATTAAGGTTAATTAAGGTGTAGCTATAATCAAGTATAACCGCATAATGTGTACTAGGCAGTAATTATCACAATTGTCTTTATGAAGATGTGCAGCCTCTGAGGCTGGTCAATGGCACTGATCGCTGCTCTGGTCGAGTAGAGATGCTTCATGACGGTCAGTGGGGGACTGTGTGTGATGACATGTGGGACATCCATGAGGCTGAGGTGGTGTGCCGAGCCATGGACTGTGGCTCTGCTCAGACTGTCAAAACCAGTGCTTTCTTCGGCCAGGGCCACGGGAACATCTGGCTCGATGACATGAACTGTTTGGGGAATGAGTCTTCTCTTCTGCACTGTCAGCACCCTTCTTTTGGAGAAAATAACTGTGGCCATGGGGAAGACGCTGGTGTAATCTGCTCAGGTAGGCTTACTGTTTGGGCATTAAAAAAAACAGCCTGCCTACCTTCTTAATTAATTAGTGACTTTGGTGGCAAAATTGACAAAGCAATTAATAATGCATACCGTAAAGTTAAACTGCAGTATTCTCAGCAGCCACCACCCCTCCCACTATATGAAAACATTTCTAAGTCAAGATGAGGCTACTTATTTACTTTACTTATTTTAAAAATAAACTAAAATTTTGAATTTTGTCAGAACTGCAAAAAAAAAAATAGTCCAGTATCTTAGCCAGTAATATTCCTATTCTACTCCATCTGGTGGTTGACTTGTTGTTATAACATTTGTTTTTGTCTTTCTAGCAAATATCCGACTGAACAATGGGACAGATCTGTGCTCTGGCCGAGTGGAGATCTACCATAATGAGATGTGGTCCGCTGCTGTGAATGTAAACTGGGGAATGACTGAAGCTACAGTGATTTGTAGAGAGATGAGCTGTGGAGATGCTGTGTCTGTGTCAGAGTCTGGGTCTCACAATGGGCTGCTGGGAGGTGTCAAAGTCAGCTGCAGTGGCAGAGAGAGCATTATCACTCAGTGCTCACTCCAACAGTACACCAGGACCGGCAGCGGCCATCTTGGACAGGCCTCTGTAGTTTGTTCAGGTAAGTGTATTCTCCATAGAGCATAATAGTGGTAATAGTGAAGGTATTGTAGGGCCACTCCACATATATGACATATAGCAATAATTCCCCCAAAAAAAATAAAAAAAATAAAAATGTACTGCCAACTGTGCCTTTCTGTTGAAGCCTGACTGTAATTGATGTCTAGTTGATACCAACCGTCAAATCTTCTCTTAAATTGAACTTAAATCCAATTATTTGTTTCATGTATGATGTTTTGTCAGACATATGAGCAATGTATTATGTAGTGTAGTGAGTATATGCGGTACAGTGGTACTCATATTCTGTATAACTTTCAGGTGATGTAAAATTACTGGATGGGCCCAATCGCTGCGCTGGCAGAGTGGAGGTGTACAACAAAGGCCAGTGGGGTAGTGTGTGCGGGGAGTCGTGGGACTTGAATGATGCCTCAGTGGTGTGCCAGCAGCTGAAGTGTGGGAATGAGCACAGCATCAGCACCAGTTCAAACTACGGGCCTGGGTCAGGGCGGGTCTGGGTGGATCAGATCGAGTGCAGCGGACGAGAGACGGCCATATCACAATGTCCACAAAGGCCATTTGTAGACAGGACCTGCAACATCACCTCACTAGCTGGAGTTGTTTGTTCTGGTATGTCTGAGCTATATCTGTCATTATTAAAAATAGTTGGCTTAGCTTTATTATGGAAAAAAAAGGATGATGTGAGGTCTGTCACCTGCCTAGAATCATATAGTTTTATGGCATGAAAAAGTTAAAGGTCAGATCTGTAGAGAGGAAAACCTGCTCAAAGTACCAGAATGCATGTTTTTAGGTATTTAGAACGATTAAATGACCTGTTATTGAATAAAATAAAGATAGAAGTTTAATACCAAATTCCTGGCATCTCCATAGGGACAAGCAGGTGGTGGAGCCTCCACTAAAAGGTCCCATAGTGTGCCTTTAAATTTCTTATTTAGTTTTAACTACATATGCATTACATTACACACAGGGCCTATCTGGCTGAAAAATGTCTCATGTTGAAGATATTTATAACATGGAATTTTTTTGATTCTACAGACAGTTTGAATGTTCGTTTGGCTGAAGGAAGTGACTCTTGCTCTGGGAGGGTGGAGGTATTGTCTGGTGAAGTTTGGGCCACCGTCTGTGATGCAGATTGGACGCTTGAGAAAGCAGAGGTGGTGTGTGAGATCATAGAGTGTGGAAATGCCATTAGCGCACCCGGTGGAGCACACTTTAACCCTGGAACAGGGCTGGTAATAGACAGCAGCAACACATGTTTTACCAACAGGGCTACTCTACAGCATTGTGCTAAAAACGGCTTCAAAACATCTACGTGTGCACATGAGAGAGATGCTGGAGTTGTTTGTGCAGGTATAGAAAGTTTATTTATTTATTCATTTTTATTACAATAATACAATGCAAGCCATAGTAGTATTGACATACTAACATACATCCAATATGAAAAAATTAAATGTATTAATTAAACGTAAAATACACAGTTGCACTTTTTCTGCAGATGGATAACATGTAATTATCGAATTTTTTAAAAATATGATTATATATTGCATTAAAGGTTTTGACCAGAACTTAATTTCTTCTGCAGCTACAATTCGACTCGTGGGTGGCTCAAACTCCTGCTCTGGGCGAGTGGAGGTCTTACACAAAGGCCAGTGGGGAACAGTATGTGACGATGACTGGTCATTATCCAACGCTAAAGTTGTTTGCCAACAGTTGGGCTGTGGCCAGGAACTGTCTGCTCCCACCAGTGCCCACTTTGGGAGAGGTGAGGGTCCAATATGGCTGGACAATGTGGAATGCACCGGCGAAGAAGTAGCTCTGTCACAGTGTAAACATCCAAATTATGGAATAAACAACTGCGGCCACAGCGAAGATGCAAGTGTCATCTGTTTTGGTAAGATGCCAATAAGCCATTTTGTTTCACTGACATCAAAACGGCTCAAAAACGGTTTTCATTTGTAGATTCAGGTTCAGGTATATTTTCAAGTTTTTGTGGTTGTAGAGCTTGGATATTCACTTTTTTTCCACGTATAATGAAAAGAGACTAAGTGCCTTAGATTAGTCTACTCTATTACACATTGTCCTATCAACAATAATGGTATAAGAAATTGTGTTTTATGTTTAGTCAATTCAGTTAGAGTCCTACGTTTTATTTTCACATTTTGTTATTTTGATATTTTAGTTTGTTCAAATACATTTTTGTATGAAATCAGTTGTGATGATGATTTTGTAGTAGTATGGGTTTTTCTGCAGTATTTAATTCAATGATTTTGCAATATATTGTCTTCTGTTGAAAGCACTGAACATATTTTCTTCTAGGTGCTCTCAGTAAACCACAGTTAACCCTGAGTACCGGTCCAGAGGTGAACTGGGGCGACCGAGTGGAGTTCACCTGCACTGTGATGACAGAACAGCTTGGTGGGACATTTGTATTGAGCAACAGCCAAGGATCTCTGAAAATGGAAAGGTTTTCTGAAGGAGAAGCTGCAGTCTTTGTCTTTCCTAAGGTCAACTTCACTCAAAAGGGCTCCTACTTCTGCGAATTTAAGAAGAAAGTACAAAGTCAAGTCTTCAGTTTCCCTCAGTCAAATGTTGTTGATTTGTCTGTTAAAAGTAAATAACTTGGTATTGATTGATTTCATTATTGAATATGTAATGCTACAAGTAAAATAACTATTTTTGTCCTAACAGTGAAACTGGAAAAACCCAGTATCACCCTGACCTCCCCTCATGCCATGTTGATCTACAGCCCTGACAAGTTAACGGTCAAAAAGGGGGACAGCTTTTTTATCACTTGCTCTGTGCATTCTACCTATCCTGGAGGCTACTTTTATCTCACCAAGTCTAACACCAGCAGAAGTGAACCCAAAGCAGCGTTTGGCCACTCTATATTTTACATGGCCAATTTTGAATTCCCATCAATACAGTATGAGCACCAAGGACTGTATAGCTGCATATATGCCTTGAACATCTCGTCACAATCTTTCTGTTCGGATGCATCCAAAACTATTCAAGTCACTGTGGTTGGTGAGTGCCTAATGTTGAATATTATATAGCCTAGTATTTCTGTTTCTACATATTTAATAGTTATATCTTTTTTGACAGATGGGTCCTCGTCCTCCACTGTCTCTGGTATTATTGCTGGTGTAGTGGTATTGGTGATTGTATTGGTCATCGGTTACATGCTCTGGAGGAGGAGGAGATGGGGTGCCGGTAGGTGAAAAAATATCTTCTTTTGATATCATCTGTGTAGAAGATGTGAATGAGTTAGGTCTGTGCTTCCCAAACTGGTACTGGCTTCACTGGTTGTATTAATAGTTCACTGTGCAATATTCCTGATAGACAGTTCACAACCAGTTTGTCTCCATGGAGATACCATGGCATTGTCTGGGATGTTTCACAGTATGGCATTTAACTAATCTATCTTGCATTTATTCAATTTCAGATGATTTTCTTGCTAATCAGTACCTTCAAAACACACATTCTCATCTGTAATTTGTAGAGGAGGCATTTCCATAAAGATGTTTATTACCATAAAATATAACATTCCGTTTCCAGGAAAAGTTGTAATATCTGCGTGGAGACAAATTCACTTCAGCATGCTTGTATAAGATCTCATTTAAAATCACTTTTATCCCCGTGCAGTCCTGTTAGTTGAGGGTTGTTTCTATTAAGACCTGATCTTAAGAACTTAAAGCTTCCCTCATGTTTCAAGTGCAAATATGCATACTCTTTGTGCCTGCCCCTAGCCTAGATAAATCGCAGCTTCATTTTTTTATACCAGTTTTTAAAACAATCTGTGTGTTCAGGTACCATGGTGACCTTTAGTAACAGGTTGGATGGAGCAATACAACAAAATATGGATGAGAGAAAGAACAGACCTTTAGATGACAGGTATATTTTCACTAATGTTGTGAAATATTAAATATTGTTATATTATTAAACCAATTACATGTGCAATGGTTACAGCAGAGTCCACGGGGCCCAGACTCGCCATGAATTCAGTCGTGTTTTGGAAGATAAAAGTGAAGATGTGAACTTGGATAACACTGTTGAGGGAGTCCATGAGGATTTAGCTGGTAGAGTCTGCTATGAGCTCGAACCACTTGTTACACCATAAGTCTTCATTGGAAACAAGCCAGTACATTAAAATTGAATATAAAAAAAGCTACAGCTAAATTTTCATATGTACTAATGACACATATGATGCTGAATTGCTCCAGAAATTATTAATAAAAAATATCTATTCAGCTGAAATTGGCTGTATCACAGGCTAATAATAATTGTGTAATAAACAGCAATTTTAACGTATGCTTTTTATCGATATTTGCATATGAAGAAAACTTGTCAAGAGGACACTATGCTGTTATACAAGCTTTGTTTTGAATCCCTTTTTTTTTATACAAAAAATATTCTACTATTATAATTTTAATATATTATAATATTAATATTATACACACTTTTAATTTACATTGGTTTAAACAAGTGCAATGGCTTTATGTAAATCTCAGTAAGTACATTTTTACTTTATCAGCATTTTATAATGATTATATTTCATGAATAAAGTTTATTAATATCAGTCTTGAAACTCCCTGTGATTTTGCAATGTTGTGTGTATGCGCATGCGTGGAGAAACAAGCTCCAACTGGAACCCCTGTTATTGGAGGGGTGTGGCTGCTTCCCAGGCAAGCAGAAAACCATGTCCAAACCTGCTCACCTGGTCTGTCACTGACACATTCCTCCTTCACTATTACACCTAAAACAACAGTCACTTGAGTCATTCTCCTCTTCCCAAGTGTGGATCTGTGTTTACTTTTGTAGATTAATATGGCCCTTGTGTTGTATTACTCCAGTGTCAGTGGAAATACAGAGGTAAGTGTAATGTGTTTTTATGATTTGAGTCTTCTTATTTAGCCTCCACTCTCTCTATATGTGTACTTATAGCAATACAGCTCTGAATGATATTGTACTTTCTCCAGATGAAGAAAAGACAAGAAAAGATGATCATGGTCCTTACCGCTAAAAAAATTGATTTTAGGGCTGTGGATATTTCTCAGAATTCTGACGATAAAGACTTAATGAGAAAGCTTGTGGGCGATCCCAAAGCTCTACCACCTCAAATCTGCAGAGGTGACTCCTACTGTGGGGTAAGTATCAGACTTTAACCCTCACACTCTCCTCGGGGTCACATAGACCCGAAAATGGTTTTATTTATCTCCATTTGCTGTCTGTAAATTTGCCTGTTTATCTGTTGTAAGTTACATTAGATCTCTTTAGCTGGTGACATTGCGGAAATATCAAAATCATTACTTCACATGTTATTACATGTTATCATTATATTTTGTGGCTTTCAATTGGATTATAATGGGCATAATATCCTAATGTCCTTCTGTGAAGTGTTTTCTCAGAGTCTACTGATGATGGTAATAGCCTTATACAGCCCACATCTGTAAATATTTTACTAATGTAAACAAACAGTATACCTTAATAATCAGTAAGCAGCCTATACATTAGATATTTAAAACTGGTACTCAAATCAAACTAACTTGGCCTATTGTCTACATATGCTTCACAAATAACCTATATATCTTTTGTAATTTTCAGTAACCTTATTCCCCATTTCTTTTTTTTCCCTGCTAGGACTTCACAGCATTTGAAAATGCAATAGAAGAAGAACGTCTGGAAGCCTTTCTTAAAATGTGAAATTCATTGTACTTTGTTTTCCAAAGACAACAGTTACTGACACATGGTGTTTTGGAGCATCTTGGGCATATGAATGCACAACACACCAAAAATAAAATCTTATTATGTAGGCTAATGTGTGTTATATTTTTTATATATTTTTACTGTCCAAGTTCTGTGATTGGAATAAAGTAGGTGTAGGAGTAGGAGTAAGGTGATTGCAGTTAGCAAAAAGTAGGACACCTTTGAGGGCAAAAAAATGGCAGTTTGTAGTTTGTAACGTTGGTGAATTTAATGTATTACTTAACATTAAATGTATGACGATATGTGCATCAAGGAGTCTGAGGTCCTCCCCAGGGGAATTTTGGACAAACTGTACAATGTACTGTATGTCATTGCATTTTAGAGGTTTATGTGGTCATAGCTCAATAATATGTCTATATTTATTTTTATCATGAGTTTATTTTCCTAATAGAGTCCATGTCCCCTTTTCCTGCTCTGATAGAACCACTGGCTGTTGGTCTATAGAGGGCGCAAGTGCGCCGCACTCCCTAATTTGACCTAGATAAAAAAAATAAAAATTATAAAGTCGTTATTTTGTATTAGGCTATGTGTTTAATATTTTGATTAAAGTTTATCGTGTATCTGCATAGAGATATTTTTATCGTGTTAAATGTACTCTTATCACTTTATTTGAGTCGTGTTTGGCATTTGAGTGCACTGGGTCGGGATCCTAACAGCACCCTGGGAGCCAGCTCAACTCAAACCACTATATTATTTGTCTGAACAATATTAATTCCTGTTTCTGCAGAAAAAGCACACGTTTCATGACAAAAATAAACCTGAGTGACCCAAAGCTAATTCAGGCCTAAAGTTTAAGATAAACTTTGTGCGCTCGCGGTGAGTCTGAGAAAGCCAGAGCAACGGAGCAACGACACCACAGAAAATGTGCTCCAAGTGTGACTTTTTTTTTAATGATCTGACTAAACGAGAGAGGAGCCACAGCGCGCACTTGCAGAGTTTGATTTGGGCCACGGTACTTTTCCGCTCATTCTGACCTGAGGAGCGAGAGGAAAGGTACGACTTCCCCCTCCTCTCCTGTTCGCTCCCCTTCCTCTCCTCTTCTCCCCGTTCTCTCCTGTTCTCCCCCTCCTCTCCTCTTCTCCTCCTCCTCTCATGTTCTCCCCCTCCTCTCCTCTTCTCCCCCTCCTCTCCCCGTCGCTCCCCTACGCAGCCAGTCTCCTGTCTGTCCACGGACCGGAAAAGGAGGCTGATCTAGTGCGGACTCCGGAGCCTGGTTAAGACGCCCGAAGTCGCCTCGCTCCTTCCCGATGCGTGGTAGTACGTGCGGAGCTTACGTTCCACTGTGCGTAAAAGTGAAGCTGTAACGGAGCGGGAGCCGCACCACCGAATGCTACGCCAGTAGTTTTGCAGGATTCACGTAGTGCTTATCGCAAATACTTGGTGCCCTACACACTGTGCGTAATGTGTGTAATGGGGAGCTACAGTACACGAAAAATCCGCGCTGAGGAGTTTACGATTTGACAGGGATGAAGGAGCGAACAGACAGAACCCACTGAAAACCAGTTCATCCTTATCCTTCAAAAATTAAGAAAGATTAAATAATAATAATAATAAATAAATAAATAATAATAATAATAAATGTCAAATCAGCCAAAGATTTCGCGACCCCCCTAGTACCTCCACAACCCCCTGTTGAAGACCTCTGCTCTAGTCCAAGTGATTCGTGCATTTCTGAGTACTCATTGTTCTGCATTTATTTATTGTTTATCCAACCAAAATACACAACCTATGCATTATAACAGCATTTCCACCCTTCACCCATGAAAACTGAACTTGTGTCTTTGAAAGTGATGTTACTTTAATGTAAACATATGGAGAGATGGTAATTGTCTATATTTATAAGTATGTACTTAAAACTGTAAATGCACATGCATAGATGGTTAATGTCTCTAATCTCTCTGATCTTTAAGTGTCAGTGCACGCTCCTCTGCTCAGTCTGATGTGAAATAACTTCTTTCTCTTGTTTCAGGCTGAAGACGGTCCGTGCTCAATGTCCTCTGTGAGGACTCAAAACTCTACAGTTGCTGTTTCAAACAAAAAATGTATATATTGTACAATAAACTGTTCGCACTGTTGCTTTATTTCACATTACATACAATTTGTTCTCTCAAAATATGTCACATATCGTATTGGCCAAAATCATCTCAAGTCTATATGAGACTCTGACAAGCAGCATTTAAGGTTTTTTTTTTTTTCACGATTAAAGAACTGCTGCAATAGCCTTATGTTTAACAGGCAGCTTAGGCATTTTTAAATGAAAATGAAGGTGCTGCATCCAAACATGGATCCTATGATCATAAAACAGCCTGTGTCCTGATAAAGGTTTAAAGCCTGAAGTGTTTGTGCTGTTCATAGACTGTATACATAAATATTGTTCTTTCTTCTCTGTGTGAAGCGCAGACTTTATCCTCATATCTGTGAGAAGTTCACAGAGACACTGACACTGTCAGGAAAATCAAACCTATGAAATTTATAAAGGTTTATATTACTGAGCTGAGGCTTTATAAACCTCGAAAATGCACTGGCATGTGACAAACTGCATAGTGTCTCTTCAAAACTTTCCTGAGGAGGAGCATGGAAAGAAAGAATAGTTCGATGGATGGATGAATAGATAGCAGCGTTTCCCACAGAAAATTGACAAGGCACTGCTGCCGAAAAAGTGAGGAAGGGAGATTCTTTGCGCTGAGAAGAAGTGAGGAGCGGGGGCGTAGAGTTATGTGTTTTGGAGGGACTTAGTCAAGGCGACCGCTAGATAGATAGGTACCTTGGGATAGTTGTCATGTTGATTCCCGCCAAGTGGGCGTGGGTCAAGTGGGCACAGATAGCTGCGGGGTTCTTTTAAAAATGGCGCTCACCTGCCTGACAGGTGAGGTACCTGTCACCAGATGACCTGGCCCCGGGGAGCCGAGCCAACGCGTTTTCTTTGTTGATAGCGTCACTAAAGTCACTCTTGACAACACTTCAAACGCTGCTTCATGTCAGAGGAAGCACCTCTCACGGCAGCGCGCCATTTTTAGCCAACAAAGAAAGAAAAGGCGGTGTGGAGCCATCGGAGCAGGACGCGCGGGATTCAGGAAAACGCGCCAAAACTGCAGCGGGACCCAAATCACCATCAGCACGACAAACAGCACGTAGGAGTCCAGGTAAGTCTTACAAGTCCAGATAAGTCTTGTTCATGAATACTGGATCATTATTGCAATAATAAATTACTGTTGGTTTGTAAATGTTGGATGAATGAAGCTGCTGCTGGCGTAGTTACTCTTCACTCTGATTCAGGTTTATTTAATTTTAATGTGCAACGTGGATTGAAATAAATAAAGCGATGATGTGATGAGTTTCAAATGATAATGATGCTTTTGTTGAAAGGAAATCTATTTCACTCTGTGGATGTGTTTTAAATGATGGTTCATTGAAAAAGGTGGATTATCCCTCACTCTCTCCTCTGGGCACATAGACCCGAAGAAACTTTTTTTTTTTTTCCTTCCTGCTTTCTCTTGGGGCGGGTCAGTCAGACTCAAAAAAAATATTTTCTATTTATTTTCTCGCCTCCCTGAGAAGAGCATGAGGGTTATAAAAGGTGTGAAGGTGCGGCCTTGTGTCCTGTTTGGTAAACGGAAACTTACAGAAAACACATGCAAAAGGTTTTGTCAGTAAAATGAAGGGAATTATGCCACAAACGAAACTCATGAAACAAAAGCAAAACAAAATAAAATCTCTTGGTATTTTGATGTGTGAAAATGTAATTTTCAAAAGGGTGAAACCGTGGGGGAAAATGTGTTTTTCAAACGTAACAAATTGCAATGAAAAGGTTTATAAATGTTCACCAAGCTTGAGTCAATGAACTGGAATACAATGACTCGGAATAATATGAAATGAATGGTACATTTGTGGGAATTAAATGATCACTTTCCAAACAGGAACGATATAAGGCAGGTCCTGTACCATACAGGACCTGCCATTAAATACTCAAACATGCAAATGTAAACAAGTGCAATACAAAAAATTGAAATGTGTCATCAAAGGTTTCAAATGGGATAAAAAATTTAAAAAAACCGTAAGCAAATGCATCCAACTGTACAATGGTCACAATGTAACCCTCAAATCCTAAAACCTCCTTTTTTTTTTCTTTTTATTCTTTACCTTGTGCTGTCTCAAAACAAGATCTGAATACTGAGGATTTTAATGGCTCAGATTTGGGCCTAAACTGGTTCAAATGTTTCATATTCTACACACACTTTTAAACAGACTGTGTGGGGTCTCTTGTGGGTTTTGGGTCTCTAGATTTTAATGTTTAATATCCACAGGTGGCACTTGGATTTGGGTCCTTGTATTGCATTTGGGGGTGGTTGGTAATAATAAAACTGAAACATGTGCATAATTAAGGAAAATTGTTATGCACTCAGACCACCTTGCTGGAAGAGTTTACCTGAACTGTGAGTTTTGGATTGAACGTCCATCAGCTTTCCGTCAAAGACCCAAAGGTGAATATAAAACTGTTTTGCAGAAATAGACTAGTGTTTTGTAATTTTGTTTCTAACTTTTCCTTTGTTTGCAGGTTTGGGTGGTGTCCTCTAACCCTTCCACAGGTGTCAGTTTATTATTATCATTGTTAATTAGTTCACAGTTAATCTAAGATAAATATACTTCATGTCTTTCAACTGTGAGACATGAAAATCATCTGCAATAACTGTAGCAGATGTTTATTTTATTTTAAAACAGCTAAAGCTAAAACATGTCTGCCATATGTTACTGAATAACCCTGGAGGTTTCAGATTTTAGGTTGGTGTCTAACCCTTTTACAGCAGCTCTGTGATATCTACTACTGCTATAGAAGCTAATGAGTGCTTCTGACCAGTGAAAAATTAACCTTTGCCTCCATCTGAAGTCAAAAAGCCTCAAGAACTAAGAATGAAGAATGGAAAATCAGAGGCTATGCTCCAAAATATGGAATGAATGAAAGAATTGGTCCAGAGCAGCTTACTGGAAGAGTTTCCTAAACTCTGTGTTTTGGGTTGAACCTCCATCAGCTTTCCCCCAAAGACCCAAAGGTGA